CAATTTAAGATCTTAGCAATGCATATTACTAATCAAACATTACGTTTTAATATATTTAGAGTAGGAAATTGAACATGATCTTTACTTCATATCCTAATGATTTTTGGCATAAAAGAAAAAGCGATAAAAAAGCGACCCATACAATGTATTGTTGGCTATTGCTACAAATATACCCCAGCGACTTAAGACTGCTTTTGTGCTCCAGGGCCACATATACACCTAGGATGCCTTGAGGGTGAGTAAATCATGGGATAATTTTCACTTTTGGGTGATCTAACCCTTTAAGGGCTAATCATTTTCTGGGTCGTTTTTAATGAGAGACATCTATGAGACCCGAAAACACACTTCAGAATCAAATGAATTGTCAATCTGAACAATTGTGAGCCGTGCTGGCAGAATGAGTGTGAATGCGCACAGGCTAATTTTGAGCTACATGCAAAAAAAGTGAAAAATGTTGAATTTGAGGTTTTCACAAAAATGAGTTCATTAAGCCCTCGTCTAGCGATCCCAATACTCCAAATAGTAATTAAACATCTAAAATGATCTGTATTTGTGCTCTGCTTCTCAGCAGTGCGCAATCCCGATAAATATACACAGAATTACAGTATTTAAGTATTCACACAACATAATCGGTTAGGTCTTAAGTGAACGTTTGGGGAAAAACATCAGATGTGTGACATAATATTAGATCCGTGCAAACAGTAGGTCTTAATATACACAGTCCGTCTGTCTCATTGAGGTTAATCTAACAATAAAAGACTTTTGTAGTTTTAATGATCAATGTATTTGTAATGAACACACTGAAGAGATTTTTACATTTGATTATTTGTTTTTCTTACTTGAATGCTTTTGTTTAGATGTAATTTGGAAAATGTAATGCATTATTTGTTTCTTTCTTATATTTGTTCTACTGCTTTTTTGCATATGCTCTTATTTATAATGACAAAGATAAAATAATAATAGCTATATTGTGATTATTAATATAGTAATTATTAAGAAAAGAAGTGGAGGAAAAGATGCAACGTTGCTCGGTGGTTTTACTTTGGAACCTTCAGAAAACTTTAATTCGATTTTTCTCAGAATTTAGTTTGTTGACTGTCAACTTATTTCAACAAATCATACATCATTTTGAAGGTCTTTTAATGGAGAATGTGGAATTGAAAAAACGTATTTTTGCTCATTGTGACTCATTTTTCCAGCACAGATCACAAATATATATGCTGTTACCTATTAAAGTAAATCAACATATTTTGTGATAATGGGTCTGTTCCAAAATGCTGTGGGCTTTCTGCTACTGTGCTCTAAAAAAGAAATGTTCCAAAACTGGGATTTCACAGTGATGCCATAGAAGGACCATTTCTATTTCCAAATAACCTTTCAGTGATCAGTTCTCAAACTAACCTTTTTTTTCCTTGATGTGAAGAACATTTGAATGATCTAAAGAATCTTTTTCCACCGTAAAGACCTTTCGTCCAAAGGAAAGTTTCCATGGATCTTAAAGGTTCTTCATGGAACCATCAATGTCAATATTTTAGAGCGTTCCATTGCACAAAAGGTTCTTTAGATTATTAAAATGCTCTTTACACTCACTCCATGGGGTTCCTTCAAAGCCAATAAAGAACCTTAAGCAACATCTTAAAAGAACTGCATGCACATATATTACATTTTTAATTTGATTGGACTGTTTACTAATTGTTTACTTTTCCGTATGTATAAATAAACAAATATGCAAAACAAGGCAGCATATTTGATAAACGCATCTACCTTTTAGAGAAGCCTTTACATCAGGGACACTTATGTGAGGTCTTAAAATATCCCCTATGTAGGCAGCTCGTTAGGTTTTGGAACGGAGCCAATGTGTCTACATTTAAAAATAAAGGGTAGCTTAATTGTTGAACATCATTAAAGGGTATCTTTGACGATTTTCAGCCAGCTTTGTGTTGTTGCACTGTCAGTGAATGAACAAAGACGTAAAATGCATCCTTTTGTGAAAACCACAGATACTCAGACAGTCAGATCCAGTCTAGTGCATCATGGGTGTTGAGGTTTTCCTACCTTTTTGGCAAAAGGAAACACCACAGTCCTTTATCTACAGTCATGTAGAACTAATTTCTATTGCACAGACAGACGTTTTATTAAAAGCCTGTCTTGGCAGCTGTGAATTACCTTTAATTTCTGACTAATTGGTCTCATTGTCAATGTAATGTTGCTCGTGGAAAACTTTTTTTTAGATGACCTTGGACTGTTTATAAATGCTATGCTCAGTTCTGAATGAAAGTTGACAAAAGCTGGATCATTATGACTACATCTGCGGTGCTGGGCTGTAGTGTGTGGTTTTGGTGGCTGGGATGCTTTCTAGGGCTGGGTTTTGACACAAATTTCACGATTCGATTCTCATTCACAAGCTTGCGATTCGATTACCAATTCGATTCGATATCAATTATTTTGGATGTATATCAGGTACAGTACTTGCCAAATTTTCAGTTGGTAGTACATTACTATAATATTGAAGGTTAAAATTGACTGATTTGTTAAAATTACACTTAATGAAGCTTTTCAAAATAATAGTTACAATTACATAATAATATTTCTACTTCAGTTCGTGTCATAAAAACTTAATGGATTTATTCAAACATAAATTAAACATCGAAGAACAGTAAAATTTATAATGAATATGTTATATGATGCATATATTTAGCAAAATGCCCCTCTCTACAGTTTATTTTTCTAGCTGACTAATGAGTTTATGGTCACCGAATATGTTTTTCTGAGGTAAATGTGACGTTACATGACATTGTTTACAAGCCGTTATATTGACATCA